CCAGCTGAATTGAGAATCGACTAGTCCTCAGATGATTGCACAATGAATCTGCAATGTTTTCAGCAATTTTATCAATTCTTATTTTCAATTCAATTTCAATTTCAATTTCAATTTTTATTTTATTTATTCAATAAAACAGGACAGATATATGAACTACGCGGAGAGGAATATCGAACTGAATTAGTTTGAGCAATATCTTAATTAAAATTAGTTGATGTTCACAAGTTGTAGTCGAGAGTTGAAAGCTCAGTCGGTGTCCAAGAGTCCCCTCCTAGATGAAATTAAAAATCGCGTCCCAGGCCTCTACACAACGCCCCCCTTTTTTCTGGGTCTCTTACCCCCCCTTTTAGGCCTGCAGCGGCCACAAGGGGGCGTTATCGATCACTTTGGGAAAGGCTGGTCTACGGCATTAGTCTTTAGCATAGATGTCAGACATGAGCGTAATCCCTAATTCCCCGGATGAAGATTAATAACCACGTAAAATATAGATCACGTTGCATTAGTATTAAACTTACATTGTTCAGAGTAGCCAGTGCATGCATGCATGCCTCATACTCTTCGCCTTCTGAGGAGAGGTTCTTCAGCACCGCATCCATCAAGAGCGGGAGTCTCGTCACTCGCTGCATCGGTAGCATCAGGAACGAGTGGAGGGATAGACTCTGACAAGCCGGGTGACTCTCTAGCCTGTGACCGAGTGATAAATATAGCTTTCTCTTTCTCTCGATCTGCGCACATGTGAGTACTTAGGTGGTAATGTATGGCGCGGCGGGCTTGCATTCACAGAGACGATAAGTATTGATCGATTAACGATGATCGACGATTAACGGTGAGTTCTTCAAATGTTTGAAGACTCACCTAATTGACCATGATATGTACGGTTTTTGGACAACATTTACTAATTAAAATTACATTTCAACCAACGACTTTCGAATTCTTATCAATAAGAGATCTAATTATGCAGAAAAGATATAGAATATCAGAGATCCTATCGATAAGAGACGATTACGGCTGAGTGACAATGCATATCAGACTAATTTGATTTCACTCCGATTTGAGCAACCGACGCGCGTGGACGTGCTCATTGTTCGTTCGATTGCCCGACCTCGGTTCGTGGCACATCTGGCGTCCAAGTGTTTTGTCGGAAGTGACTACCGGTGATAATAGATCATTGTTCGTGGCACATCTGTGGCCCAAGTGTTTCTCGGAATTTGTACCTGCGCCTAATTACAAGGCATTGNTCGGCAGATGTACCACGAACACAGAAACAACAAAAGGAAACAAAACAAATAAAAACTTCCAGAAAGAGCACTTAGTCGGCAGATGTACCACAAACACAGGCCGCGCGAACAATGGCCGGGCTAACAAAAGCCGGGCGAACAAAGACCGGGCGATCGAGTGGACGATGAGCACGTCCGCACGTGACGGGTGCCTCTATCGGAATGTCAATTTCAATCACGCATGAATGTCTGAACGGGTTTCGATGACATACTGCGCAAAGGTAGTCTATGAACTGATTTAACATAATATAGAATAATATTTATCGTGGTAGGTAAATAATATCAAGAGGTTTGAAACCGCGGGTTAAGTCTATTAAATATGCTTATAATGATATTGGATACTCTAGAATAACTAACTTAAACAATAAAAGACTTAATTGCGTTTTCTGTTATATGTATAATGAGAAAACAACATTTATAGCCCTTAATCTAGTAATAAAATTAATATTTTTAAACAAACTGAACTTTCTATTCACTGAATGTTAAACTTCACTGAATGACATTTATGAAAAATCCTTTTTTAAAACTATAGAGTTTTAGACTATGCAGGTTTTTCTTTACATGAATATAAAAACTTTTCTGCGCTTGGCTGTATCGACCCCGCATAGTGAGATAAATGCAAGAAAATAAAAAAATACTTTTCGTTAAAAAAACTTAGCATCTTAAATAACGTCTGTTAATAAAGTTTACGTAATAACTATTAACCTTAAAAACAAACTTGAAACCCACGAAGCGTTCCAACCAAACCGGTTCGACTACTAAACTATTTTACCCGTAAAAGTAACCGAGTTATCTAAATGTCGACTGAATTGCGATAGTTTTAAATTAGATATTCCCAATTTATTCGCGTTTGAATAAAGCATTATAATGTAACCTTAACCTTAAATGAGAGTTCTTTGTATATTGGATTTACTTCTGCCTTATTTAAAAATTCTATATCGGAATGAAATATAGTTTACTATGACAAAATCAATTTTAATCCCCGTACATTTAAGTGCAGTTAGAGTAGTCTAGTATGGATCGCGATTGTTTTGCGATGTATTGAATTCGTTTCAAAAATCGAAACTGGATTAAATTAATGGCTGATATAAAACATTACAGTTTTAGTGAGTCTTCGTATTGAAAGGATAAGGGTGTCATTTAATCGATTATTGTTTTAATCGTAGTTTGGGTTCAATCGCAAATGCGAATAAATTATCGGATATTATTTTTTCGGAAAAAAATATCGATAAAAAGAAATGTATTTTTCAATACCGTACCGTATTCAGTACCGTAGAGTATACTCTGTAACCATTTCTATATTACGTCTTATATAATATAAGACAACAAATATATACCAAAAATACACATATTTACATAATCATGTATAGTATATACTTATAATTAGGTCTACTATAAATTAAGCAAGTAAGGATATAGAAATAAGGAATTTCTAATCAAAACAAAGAACCTAAATACGAGAAATAATAATTTAATTTAAGTTTTTTATTGGGTTTCAAATTGTATAACGTAGGTAAGTGTTATGTGTGCGTGGTTGTGTGGGGAGAAGTTAGTTGGAGGTTATGTTAATTTACCGCGTTTTAATAAAGCTAAAACATTATAATTGTCTAACGAACGAAATATAGTTCTTAGGTCACTTGCTTCGATCAGTTGACGAACATATTGAATTAAATTTATTAAGAACTAAAAAGAGACATATTTTGTTAGTTTTAGCTAGATTACTTACATATTTTGTCGTTAGCTATTATTTCATAATATTCATCTATCAACTGATAGAAACATGTATTAATGTTACAAGATGTTTTACCAGACCTTGGATGGTAAAAAACATCAACTTCTGTAGTACCTACTCTTAGATTGGTCGCTTTGCTTTTGGCTAGCTAATATTTGGTAAGGCTTCTTCTAAAGCAGAATGTAAATATATCACCGTTCGTCGTGAGATTCTGATTTAAGCCTTAAGTGCATTTATGTAAGGTCTATCCTACACTAAATTGTTTCTAAAACCGGCCGACCTTTTTCTAAGCGAGCACATTTGTACCGTCAATCGATATATTTATGTGTCTGTGGTTTTTTAATAAAATTCTTCGAAATAAATTATTTTTTAAGGCCTCGAACGTTTGGTAATGTCACAGCAATCATAATAGGCGCTCTGTCGTATTATCCATAGGCGTTTCGGAAGGAGTATGTGTTTGTATTTGATCACGGTGAATTTATAAAAGAATGTTCAGTTTAAGACACGTCTTTAATAAGTTGTTTTAAGGTTTGGTTTGTTTAAGCAGTTTTAAAGGGATACTTTATTGTTATTTGTTATCTTGTCAGCAGTTAGATATTTTTTTACGGAATAGCCACCTTTCATATATCCAGTTACCAGTTGGAAGACGAACATATTTCTGAAATAGCTATCATGTGAAATATTATTATTATTAATTATTATTAATATATGCATTTATGCAAATTTGCTAGGAAAATGAAAATATGCATTTTCCTAGCAAATGTTCCGTTTATATTTTGGTGTGCCGGTTGCCTAAAGACGGTTTGCGATTTAAAAGATATTGTAGGTTAGATATCTGGTAATGGTATTCTGAAATTATGGGATATCTTACAATTTTTTTTTATACCTAAAGAAAAATGAGTTACTCTGACCTTTTTCTGTAATTGTTGATTGTCTGGGGGTGCTTTTTGTCCGGAGTAATCTCCGAAATTTACATTAACTAGAACGACATTAGAAAGGCTAGTCTATAGAAGAATCCGCTATAAAACCTAAATCAAGCTATGAACAATTACATGACAAACATTTTTAATTCTAGTTCCGTTCAACGGTAGGTAACAAAACATATACAAAAATATGCGCTCGATTCAAGATCTTCCTTTTGTGGATAATCTTTTTCAACAACGGATCAACTTAAAGTAACCACTAATTAATATAATTACAGTACTAAGTCTTTACGACCTTCGAAACTGTTACGAAGCCACTTAGTTTTGTGTATTTTTTTTTTCCACAGTTGATAATCGCCGGATCCCCACCCGCACGGCAGGTGGGGTATGTGGGAGTTAGTTTTGTGTATAGATAAATTTTATTTATGTATAGATTAATTACAAAATACTCAAAACAAGTTTTTGTTCGTCGGACCAAAAGTTAATTACGTATCATCAGTATCGGGCCCTTCAAGAAACATTTCGTAATAAATTACTGTTAGGCAATCGGTCCAACTGGTTATTTCCGTCGTTCATACTGTCAAAATTAACGCAATGTCGATAGACTGGTTCTGAATGCAGCTCGAATGAAATTTAGAGAATGCCTAACTCAAGAAAATATTCGTCGTAATTAGTCATACCAAACTTGTCTCTTTATCATTTCACCTAACAAATAAATAAATGCGTTAGTCTAGCGTATTATTAGTTACTAGCTGTACCCGTCCGCTTCGCTGGGCATTTAAAATCAACATTATTATTTCTCACCCCAACAAAGATTTTCATCATTAACGACCCCGCAACTGGTGCAGGGAGTCCAACACTCATATAAATATTAGCCTATCCATTAAGTACATACATGTATTTTCTACATAGATACCAAGTTTCAAGTGAATCGGACGCATGGTTCAGTACCGTAGTTATAACGGAACATCCGTAAAAACCACTGTAGATTTATATATTAGTATAGATTTACGTTTAAAGTTTTAAAGTTAGAAAGTTAATTTGTAATAAAATAGCCAAAACATTTACCTAATACATCCGGATGACGCACCAGAAAATCCTGTTTGGCTCTGATCAAGTCGAGCCTTATTTGATTCTCAATTGGCGCTTCCAAAGCCGAAAACACCAAAGCACCGGACACCAGATAAGTACCATAGAACAGAACGTAGAACAATATTAGACAAGTGAATCTCGCTTGCCCGAAGATTCTGGTGGTGGCGAACAGCGGCTGAAAAGGCGGATTCTCTTCTTCGTACAGTATCTCTCTTTCGACGACCATTTTCTTCGGGTAGGGGTACAGTTGACTGTGAACTGTCATATCGTCTTCGCTTCTACCCGAACACAAGCTCCCGTACGACTGAATACGCGAATAGCTCGGCATTTCCATAATATTTTAATAGTTAAAAAACAGTTTTTTTTCTCTCTCTCGTCTTCGCAACTAAGCGGCTTGTCGCTTCGATACACCGGATCACAAGCAATTCCGGTACGTTATTAAGTAACGGTCAACTGTATTTGAAGAATTTCTTCGGGTGATTCGTTTCAACGCAAAAAGCGTATGTTTCCGTCACCTTGGTCGCTTTACGGCAATTTTCCAGTTTAATTATCACCATTTTGATACATTTTAAAAACTGAACTGATAGAATAATGTTGAAATCTTAAACGAGCGTGGACGTAAGTGTAACTCCTTCAAGTGTGTTCCAACGAATGCGTGGCATTCGTTGGCGTGTACAAACTTACAAACACAGTCAGGGCTGTCAAAATTATCAGACGTTCGTAAATAAAGATAATAATGTGTTTAATCAATGTTATTTGTAGGCGTACCTAATGAACACGTGTGTTTTTATAACTCAACGTTTATTGGTTATTAGTTTACCGTCTCGTTCGTGATGAGTTATCTAAAGTTTATAAAACCCTTAAACAGTGTTATTTATAGCGTCTTGTTAATCTTTTATTATGAAAAACAATTTTCACAGTCGCTTAATAATGGGCTTAGAAACCGCTGACATATCTTCATGAATAGAACCGATAGTGCTTTGTGATTATGGCATTACATATATTTAAAGAATGTTGACAAAGGAGAGCTTTCGTATTTAGAAGTTCAGCAGAGTTTATTGAAATATACATCAAAGTAATTCAGTACGAAGCCAAAGTACAATGGACGTCAAAAGAAACCGCGACACAGTCGTTCGAATGAAAAGAAAGAGGGAAATTTGTTTTTTTTTCAATTATTTAATATTTTGAGGGTAAATAAGGTTAGTAGTCGGGTTCTCGTGGCCGCTTACGGGGCTCGATTCAGATTTCGAGGCCACCCTCTCTGCATGTGTCGGCTGTAGGCTCTCTCTCGCTGGACAGGGGTGGTAGGTTTTTTTAATTTTTTTTTATGGCTTAGATGAGTGGACAAGCTCACAGCCCACCTGGTGTTAAGTGGTTACTGGAACCCATAGACATCTACAACGTAAATGCGCCACCCACCTTGATATATAAGTTCTATGGTCTCAAGTATATTTACAACGGCTGCCCCACCCTTCAAACCGAAACGCATTACTGCTGCACGGCTGTCGGGCTGTAAACGTGTGTGAACTCATTAGCAAGGCTATAAAGGAATAGTTGGTTTATAATGACAAAACGGAAAATGTAATGTATTTGTGGTTGCAATTTACGACTTTCATATCAATAACTTGTTTTATATTGTATTCTGTCGTCCATGACTTCATAAGTAGAATGTCCGGTGCAGTCGTGGTCAAGTAACTATAGCGGTATTTTTTCCTTAAATCAGTGTACAAGCTGGTGTTAAATGGTTACTGGAATCCGTAGACGTAAATTCCGCCACCTACCTTAAGACATGATTTCTTAGGTCTCAGTTTTACAATGCCGCCCCACCCTTTTGAAGTCGTCGTGACCTAAAGGATAAGACGTCCGTGCATTCGTATCTTGCGATGCACCGGTGTTCGAATCCCGCAGGCGGGTGCCAATTTTCTAATGAAATACGTACTTAACAGGTGTTCACGATTGACTTTCACGGTGAAGGAATAACATCGTGTAATAAAAATCAAACCCGCAAAATTTGCTTTGCGTTACTGGTGGTAGGACCTCTTGTGAGTCTGCACAGGTAGGTACCACCACACCGCCTATTTCCAAGATATGAGTTCTAAGGTTTCAGTATAGTTACAACGGCTACCCCACCCTTCGAACCGAAACGCATTACTGCTTCACGGCAGAAATAGGCTAGCTGGTAGTACCTACCTGTGCGGACTCACAAGACACTACGCCCCGTAATGTATGTAAATTAGGTATACTTATCACTTAACACATTAATATGTAAAAAGTCACACAATTCTAATGTTACAATCAGCGTTCAGCGTCCACGACTGATTTTAGTTCTGCCATAAAACTATCCATCTTTTGTTCTTGAATGTCGGATAGCTGAAGCTTGGAACCGCTGGGTCTACGGAGGTAGTTTAAGTATTTTAGTTATATTAACGTATATTCTATATGGGGCCGAACCTCCTACGAGGTCCCCGCCCCCGCGTCTCGGTACGGCAGCCCGTCAGGCCGCCCAGACGGTGCCGCTGGTGTCCCGGAATACCCCGCTGGACCAGAACCAGCCTGCCGGGTCGGGACGCGATACACCGTCGACCGGTCGCTCTGTTACTCCTCGGCAGCGCGCCAGAGTGCTGGTAGCACACCGCGCGGCCCCTACCCCCTCAGGTCGCTCCTTGACCTTCACCGGGGGGAGGCCTCTACCTGGAGTGAACTTTCTTTTTACAGTCGCATAAAACGTAATAGCCGAATAATCTTCACTCTTAGAACAGCTACGCTTATCCACAAGAGCGCATTGTCAATGACGGTGTCGGTGACCAGTCACAGTGAAATCGTCCCGTATACTTAGTGCAAGTTTTTTAACGTTCTCGATAGCGTAAAAGTTAACTCAAATGTGTATGCAGTTGGAACTGCAACTGTATACACATGCAACTGCGCCCCTGGCGGCAAACGTACGCAAACGTTCCAACTCGCACTAAGCACACCTATATGCGTGTTTGTCTCGAAATAAAAATAGCTGTATGGTTTCAATTCAAAAGCAGTTTGCATTTCGAATTAATTTGTTATTCTCGGAGCTTGAAACCCTAACGGTATTTTTCGATTCCATTGACAATTGCATTAGATTTTTTGTTGAATTTGAATTGTTGAATTATTGAATGTTTAGTTTCTACCGTCGTTAATGAGTTTCACCGTTATTGTAATTTATATTTATTGCTAAAGAATTGCTTTTATATAACTTCAAATATCTAAGGTATATAAATTAAATCTTAACATTTTCATTTCAACAATAAACTTAATTAGTGTTACAAACATTTTGATTTCTTTCTTCATATTTGTCACATACTCTTTGAAGTATGCTATATATTACGTTTTGTTATTCTTATTAAAATTTTATTCGAATACACTTCAGTCGAATACACTTCAGAATTGATTTTAATCGATTTTGAATTTTCGCTCAATATATTATCATGTCATAAATAAAAGTTGTTACTTAAAATTTTGGATTTGATTTTGATTTATCTTTTAGAAAATCTTGGCATACCTACTTCTGCGAAGCTCGATAGCGATCAGATCAAAGATCAACCGATCAAATGATTTTCTCAACAAAATACTTAAAATTAGTGAAATTCTCGGCGTAGTTGTATGATTTTATACATAATTTATAAGCTAATAACGGGAACAATAAAGCGTCGCCACATCGTTGTTAGCGTCAATGAACTTTTTTAGGGTACCGTGTCGAAATAACAAAAAAAAACTATAGAATTATAATAACAAATTTATAGCGTGACATATCTTACTTAAGATCAAGCGTCGATGCGCTAGCACACGATCAGTAGAAGAGCGATTATGGAAGCTTTGGAAAGACCGACGTATAACCAAGAATACAAAGAATCGACTAATGAGTTGTCTGGTGTTTCCAATCTTTCTGCATGGGACTGAAAGATGGTCGCTCAAATTCCAAGATCGCCGGAAAATCGATGCCTTGGAGATGCGGTATTGGAGACGACTGCTGAAAACTCCGTGGACAGCGTTCGGAACAATGTTTCCATCCTCAAAGAGCTTCGTATTCAAAATAGACTTTTGTCGAATGTTCGGCTGCGAATTCTCAGTTATTTGGGCATATCTCCAGAAAGGAAGATTCAATGTGGAGAGACCTGTCGTATAGGGCCGTGTAGAAGGCAGAAGACCTGGAGGTCGATACCCCACGCGCTGGATTGACCTCAGCACCAGCACTACGAAAGCACCACCGCATTACAATAATCTCGCAATGCTAACAGTCGTTTCCAATGGAGGAACATCGATCGACCTTGGAAGCGAGTGGCGACCACGAGACGCAACCCTGTCCATCGACAGCCACCACTACTCTGTCAAGAGTATTCGACTAAGAATAAGATCTTACTTAAATGTAAACATTTTGGAAACCTCAAAACTCGTTAAATGAAAAGTACGATTCAATATATTTATTATATACTAGCCGTACTCGCCCGCTTCGCTGGGCATTTAAAATTAACAATATTATCTATTGTCATTATTATTAGGGATTCCAACACTTATATAAATATTAGCCTATCCATTAAGTACATATATTTTCTACATGGATACCAAGTTTCAAGTCAATCGGATGCACGGTTCAGTAGTTATAACGGAACATCCGTAAAAACCATTGTAGATTTATATATTAGTATAGATTATTATTATTATAATTATTATTGAAGTGATTTTCCACGTTTAATCAAACATTGTATTTGTGAGTGGATGTGCACACACTTGGCAGCCTTTCAATAATAGTAGTCTGATATTATTATTTTCAATTTCTTAACTTCTTCAACATTAATGCATCAATTCACACGCATATTTAATCAGAATTAAATTACAATATGATCTAGGAACAAAATAAAATAAACCAAGAATAATAATAAACGAGTAGGTCTTCTAAAATAAGACTTTTATATTATTTAATATTTAAGAAATTATATCAAAATCATTAATGTAGTAAAAATGTAAACTTATATTGACTTATAAGCAATAATTATGAATTCTATCTATTCTAATAAATTATGAAGCAAACATATTTCACTTAACCAAATTAAACTCAATACATGTTGCAAAGAAATCATTTAATTCGGCTTATAAACTTTTTAGATAGCAGCCTTTAAAGTTTTTCGTGGGAATCAAGCGACGACGACAAGTCGAAGTTATTTTGAAAGTATAAATTTAAATCGTTTTATTTTAAACACTTATAACTTCGTTGTTTCTCAGACAGCGTTAATTTGATTTTCAATTCAATAAATATAGCAGTTAAAGCGCTAAATTTAAACATTGAAATGTGTTAAATGTATTCAAATCTCTAGTGACTCTTTTTTTTTGTTGGTCATAATGAAATCGCCGGACTTCCGCCCTTCTCTGGGGATACTGGACGGGGTATGTCAGAGTCGAACTAACTAAAACCTCCTGTCGCTCACCAACCAACGTCCAAACCTCGCATGAGACAGAACTCATGAAAAGGCAAAGGGGGGAAAGTGAAGCGTTTAGTGCGGAGCACATCTCTCCCATCACCCTCCCCCAAGGGACGCCGGACTGGCGGTCGTCGGCGCCACGACCACCAGCCCTCTCGGTCGGCAGACTGTCCGAAGCCCGCCTAGATGGCGCCGGTTAGAGTGGGTCTCTAGTGGCTAGTATTATTATAGTCAACGGGTGGATCTGTGTATTTCTATGAGCGAGCCGGCTTCTAGAACTGGTTCAGTTTCTCCCTCAAATTCCAAATGTTAATGTTCTTGTTTGTTTTATTAAACTATCCTAAGGTTGACGTTAGAATTCAAGATTTAATAAATTTTAATACATATAATACATCAGATAATATTACGTTATGACTTATTAATGTAGTAGTGTTGAAATGGATAACAGGATTTATTTTTTATCCAGCTTACTTAAAAAGGGCAATATGTTTGGTGGTTAAGTAATATGGCAAATCCCTGGCAGTCAGTCATTATATAATATATTACATACATGTGGTATTTTATATATAATATGTATACGAGTAGTATACGAGTATTACGTTAGGTCACGAAAAGTTATCTGTTTAGATCGACTTTGTCAATTTTATTTCGATGTTATTTTAATCCTTTTTTTTTGGTTATTTGCTTTTTTTTTCGTACCATTTATTTTAAATAATTAATTATTATTTTTTGTTGCCCTTGTAGGCAGACGAGCATACGGCCCACCTGATGGTGAGTGGTTACCGTCGCCCATGGACTTCAGCAATGCCAGGGGCAGAGCCAAGCCGCTGCCTACCGCTTAAATAAAGCAGTACTTAAAGCGTTCAGTAAAATGTATTAGATAAATTTGTGATAAGGAATTACGTGAGCAAACTCATCGAGATACGGATACTTTGTAAACAAACATAAGTCGGGTCAAGACTCGATCTAAATCGATAAGGAAGGACCATATTTACAACGAACGATAGCTCGTTGTATGGAAGAAAATAATGTAATGTATTTTATATGTTATTAACCTACTATATAATTATTTAAACTGTGTTATTTTTCTTATTCTTGGCCATGCATTCGTACTGCAATTGTTTGTATTAATGGAGTGGTCAAATATTAGTGTTACGCGCTGGGGTTCGGGATAAATAAAATTTCACCAAAGTACAACTTAAAACTGTATTCAACACTTAGAACACTTAACACGACACTTCACAAACATACTTCGATAAGGCTATGCGTCATGATAATCGCCTTATCGTTGCCGCCGCTGACTACTCCCCGAATCCTGATCACGCAGGAGCCAGTCACCGTCGACGCCCTAGACACGTCCTTACGGATCCATCAGATCCAATAACCTTTGCATTAGACGCCTTTAGCTCTAACACTAGGAGTAGGCTTAGGGACCTCGGTAACCGTACTCGTCGAACTCGACAAAGAGTTCGCCGTGCAACCTAACCCATGATTCAGCTCGCTGAGTTTCTCGCCGGATCTTCTCAGCGGGTCGCGATTCCGATCCGGTAGTAGATTCATTCGCGAAGCAGCTACTCTTGAGCTGTTAGGTCTCCTTCGGAGGCGCTCGGGTAGCTGTTAGCAAATCCCACCCCTCCTGTCTGAGCCTTTGCTCGCCCACCTGTCCTGGTGAAACTGGAAAGGCCTCCGGGCCACCAGTAATCCTTCAATCATAAAAAAAAAAAAAAAAAAAACTTCACTAACACTTTAAAATTCTCATTTCGCTTGTTTCGCTTCGCTTCAGGTGATCCGTTCGCTGTTTCGCTTTGAGTAATTCCGATTACTGCCTGACTGCGTGTCATCTTTACAACGCTTTTATAGCCGATTAGAATTATCGAGAATATTCTATACATCTCTAGTAGTAGTTTCCGCTATCTCTCAATATAAGCGTTTTGGGCGCTACTAGATCCTTCGATATTTGTTCGACTATTCGGCAATAGATGGCGTTACTCTTACCGGCGTAACATTAGTTTAGTAAATTTGAAAGCATGTCTGAAGTCTCCAGCGTATGTGCATACCGTCTCTGGGAATGGTTGGTCGGATATTGGTATTGTTAGTATTATAATTATAGAGTAGTCAGTGTAGGAATTAGTTTCTTCTTTTTTTTTAACTTGACTTTAAGTAATAACAAAAGTTTGACAATAAACAAAGAATTTAAATATGTATGTGTTGTGTCAAATACATGGTAGTGTGTGTAATGTTTTTTTTATTGATTTAATGTATTATTAATGTATAATTAAAAAAAAATATTTACATTCTGCATTTCTTCTCTATATTCTTTACTAGCGACCTGCCCTCGCTTCGCTTCGGAAACATTAAATTTAATTATTGCTAACCGTGCTACCCGCGATAATTGTCGTACCGCGGGTGACGCTGCGAGGCGAAGCTATTTAAAAAAAAGTAGCCTAAGTTACTCCTTATATCATCAGCTACCTATCAGTGAAAATCGGCCCAGCCGTTCCAGAGATTAGCCGGAACAAACAGACAGACAGACAAAAATTGTAAAAAATGTTATTTTGGTGTATGTACCGTATATATATTCATATATATGCATGTAGTAAAAAGAGGCCATTTCAATATTACAAACGACACTCTAATTTTATTTATATGTATAGATAAGTGTGGGAAATTTCATACTCCTCCGTCTGCGCAAATTTCGTAAAAAGGGGTACAAAGTTTTTGCTTCACGTATTAGTTTATAGATAAATCAAAATGCTGTTGATGTCACTGACCTGTGATGCAAGGATGCTTCTCGAGGAATACGGCTTTGAGATGGTCGACCTTTTCCTGCAGACGATGCTCTATAGGCTGCTCTATCAACTGGAACACAGACGCGCCTGTAGAATAATGATTAATTAGTCGTCTAACAAAAATCAAACCTGCAAATATTGTACTTTGCGTAATTACTGGTGGTAGGACGTATTGTGAGTCCGCACGGGTAGGCACCACCCCAACTAAACCTGCCGCAATACAGTAATGCTTTCCGATTTTAAGGTTTAGGCATTCGTACTGAGACTTAGAACTTGTGTCTCAAGATGGGTTGCCAAATTTATGTTGTAGCTGCCTATGAACTCCGATAAGCACGATAACATCAAGTGAGCTCGTTCACCTGTCTATACAATTAAACAAATCAATATGTATTCAAAATACGTATGCAAGTCTTAATCCCGTTAGACACATTTAATAACCGATTGATGATTTATTTCCATATGACGACATGTTCTTCTTCAGTAGGCAAGGACTTGGCTCTGCCCCTGGCATTGCTGATGTCCATGAGCGACGGTAACCACTCACCATCAGTTGGGCCGTATGCTCGTCTGCCTAGACGGCAACAAAAAAAAAGCCAGAACGTTCACAAAATCATGTCAAATCAAGGCAAAGAGCCTACCTACTTAATAATTAATTTCTACCACAGCTAACTTTCCACACAGAAGTCAAAATGACGTAACAAATGCGCCATACTCCGAAAGGTAGGCCATTAAAGCTAATGGTTACCCTGCTGAATGATAAAATCTTGAGTGTTTCATTGAATAAATAAACTAATGTGACGAGTAGCTATCGTACAACGCAAGATATTTGACAGATGTCTGAATCTCGCTTACGACATTTTCAAGATAAGCTTGCACATATACAAGTTCCGAACAACAATATTCCTAATCTTGCGGACCGAATGGTAAATAGTTGACGTCGCCCAAAGCACATCATTTCGGATCCTCCCGATCCACACACTGCTTATAAGTACCCCAAGCACCGGTCATCGTTCTCGTCGAACCAGTCGCTTGCGACGAAGGGCTCGGCAACTAAATTAGCCCACAGATACAGCCCACTCAGTTTCTCGTCGGATCTTCTCAGTGGGTCGCGTTTCCTATCCGGTGGTAGATTCTGCGAAGCACCGCTCTTACTAGGGTTCGTGTTAGCAAAATCGTCAGGTTTGAGCCCCGTGAGCTCACCTACTAGTTAAGGTTACGCTGATGTGGTCATTCAAAAAACGTCATTCGGACCGTCAATTTACTAAGCAATATCACCTGCTCGGTGGAGAATTTTCTTCGTTATTTCCACACTAATACAAAATGTAATTTTGTGCTTTTGATCTTATTATATCAGAGGCACAATTTATTTTGTAACAACAAACGTATACTTAAGTTGCTCCTGACAAAATTAATTCGGCAATATCTATCTGAAGCGTTGCGTGGGAGCTATGTCAAATTTGTCCTGGTATTCTTCATGTTGTATTCAACATTTTGTGACGGAATATTAATTCGGAAACTTTACTAGGTTGATATGAAATACGTGGTTGTTTTAGTATAATTAAAAGACAGAGTCTTGACATTGAATAAGTAGGTTGTTTGAAAACAAATTTATTGTTTCAATCAAATTATTTGTGTGTATGAATGTTATCAGGGAAAGACGAAATATTAAGGTACCAGTTTCTCTTCTGTTTTGACCAACACAAAGTTTCTTTATTTTAGGAACCACTGACGAGTGTTACTAAACTTTTCTCTTGGAAATTCGTTGTTTTTTTTTTTAATTTCAATCTCTGAATATCATTTTCTTCTCAACTGGTTTTTGTTGCTGAATCTCCGTTTTTTTTGTAGCCTTCGATGCACTTTGTCATCGAAAATTTTTTGAGGTTACTGAAAACTACACTTCTGTTCATCCCGTTTTATTGGAAATTGTTTTCTCATAGTTGTAGGTCATCGAAAAATCTAGCGTACTCTCTCTCTGAGAAAAACTATCGCTTGGGGAAATATGAGAAACGATCACAGCACACTTGTTGGAAGTGAGCGTCAAGGATCCGTTCTAATAAAGCCGGATAAAGGTTATTTTCTTTGGTGTGATTCGGTTATGTTCGCCCAATTGCGAGATTTACGAATTACCACCTTACACCTAAGATCACAGTGTCAATATTTGAACGAACGGCCCTGAAGTTGCACAAGCGGTGTTCTCGTAAGGTTGAGCGATCATTTAATCACCACTTGTAAGGACTAATCCACTCAGAATACTCAGTGCGAGTTTTTTAACGTTTTCGATAGCATTAATTATTATTTTTTCCTACCTAAGCTGATGGTCTAGATAGATCATATCAGCGTAACCTTAACTAATAGGTGAGCTCACGGAGCTCAAACCTGTTGTTGCTAACACGAACCCTAGTAAGAGCCGTCCTTCGCAGAATCTACCACCGGATCGGAAACGCGACCCCCTGAGAAAATCTGGCGAGAAACTCAGTGGGCTGTGTCTGTGGGTTAATTTACTCGCAGAGCCCTTCGTCGCAACCGATGGATTCGACGAGAACGATGACCGGTAGCATTAAAGTTACCGCAAATTTTTATGCAGTTGGATCAGCGCCCCTAGCGGCAAACGTAAGCAAACTTTTCAACTCCATACAAATTTGAGTTTACTTTGACGCTATCGAGAACGTTAAAAACTATCACTAAGCACAGTGCACAGAACTCTACTCTGCTATTGCGCGACTCATTGTGATGTTTTTGACATCCGCGGACTTGGGGATATACTCTGTATTATTACGGACAACATTAGCGTGCTTAGTTACGCAACGTGACCATAAGAATGAAGGATTAAATTCCTCGTGGTGGATGCATTACACCCCGCCGCACATAAACAGACCTCAGGTTTTTAATTAAAGTCTCGCCTTGACCGTGCCTACCACGCCACATCTAATATTTAGGTTAACGCGTTCTCCCTCGCCCCATTACTGATTCAGTAACTATCCTATTGCGGTAGTAATCTTTTTGTTAATCGATCTCAAAAAAGGAGGAGGTTATCAATTCGACGGATTTTTTTATGTAACCTCAGAACTTATTTCTAGATTTTAAAGCTGATGCTCCTCATACGATTCCATTTTATCAGGATCTGACCAGTAGTTTTTGTGTTATCCTTAATAATGCATATTATTTATACGACATTGTTGATATTGAAATTTAAGTCCGATTTTCTTTTCCGATAAGCTATTTTTTTTATTGTCCTTGTAGGCCGACGAGCATACGGCCCACCTGATGGTGAGTGGTTACCGTCGCCCATGGACTTCAGCTTTTGTATGAATTTAGTTTTCATTGATTTACGAATTCTTATTTGTAAGAGGTAAGTAGCAATACCCGATACATTACCGACTATACGTCATTATGAACTAAAAAGTTGAAATCTTATTGGGTAGCTCCTTGATTCGATTCAGTCACATGGCTAGTTACCCTAATTACTGTACCGCAGGGTTCAAGTACTAGTCCCGGTCGGATTCAGTTTTCTTGTTTTCTTTTTATTCGTGATTATAGCGTATATGTTCTGATCTCTAGAGAAAATCTAGCCCGTAGTAAAATGTGTAATATTTACATATTAAGAATCCAGTGTTGCCTGTTATCGAAAGTCGATTTACGAGAAAGATTTTTCGAGAGAAATTGTTGATGAGCACTCTGAGTCTCCTTCTGTAGCTGCCCGGCGTCATGTGCGCAATAAGTCCACGATTGAACATAACTCTGTCTCGTAGATGTTCGACGCGAAATTCGTGTACTGTTTTATTTTTGTGTCTTATACATATAAATAATATTGGAGTGTCTGTTTGTAATATCCACTTTTTACTACATGCATATACCAAAATAACATTTTTTACAATTTTTGTCTGTCTGTCTGTTTGTTCCGGCTAATCTCTGGAACGGCTTCACCAATTTTGACGAGACTTTCACTGATAGGTAGCTGATGATATAATGAGTGACTTAGGCTAGACTTTTTTAAACTAGCTTCGCCCCACGGCGTTAACCGCGGTACGACAATAATCGCGGGTACTCACCTATCAAATAAAATTAAATCTTTACGCGAAGCGTAGCTAGGGCGGGTCGCTAGTAATTAAATAAAATACACCGAGTCTTTTTGTTTCCTTTTTAAAAATACTATCTTATAAATCCCGTATAACAGTGCGTAGATCACGCTTCCGCGATTGTCGCTTGGGCTTCAACCCATTTTTTTTTTTTTTTTTTNCGCGGTCAACACTACAACCAGACACGCGGCGCCACCCCGAGGACGCCCGACCGACGGGTCGTCGAGGCGATAGTCGACGACCAACGACGTCGGTCTCCGCGGGGGCTTCAACCCATATCTTATCCCTGTTCACCTAATTAGAACACTTACCAAACGCCAGGTAAGATGCCATTAGCATCGACAGAATGATCGGCCGGAATAACGGAAAATTGCGCATCTGGTTCGCCCAGCCGGCAACGAGCCTCATCGTGAACTGAAACAAAACAATTTATACAAAATTCTTCATATAGTTAGTGAGAGATAAAAAAAAATTAATATCCGATAACTGAGAACAAATCACGCACGGTCATTCAGCCCCAATTTAAGATTCCCTGCGTTATGGTTACCAGAAACAGATAAACATACTTCATCATCATGCTTTCCTATTACCCTCTGCTGGGGTGTAGGGCTCGAATCAAATTTTTCCATTTGTATCGGTCTTGGGCAGTCTGTTCTAGCTAAACATACTTACATACTTATATATGTTTTAATATACAGAGAATAAATACTCAGACAAAAAGTAAGCAAACCTGTTCTTCACACAATGTTTTTTGCCCTATGTGGAAATCGAACCCACGACCCGGATAATTCCAAAAAGTATTTTATTCATCTGTAACAACAATCTAGGACTGAACTCTCATATAAATAACGACTATATCTTTTATCTTATGAATAGATATGATCTAGTTTTTATTAATTCCAAAAAATCTGTAACAGACCTTGACTATATTGGCAAATAACTTACCATAAAAACTATTTAATTAAATAGTATAGTCAAAACTATTTTTTAATATATAGAGAATAAATACTCAGACAAAGAGTAAGCAAACCTGTTATTCACAAAATGTGTTTTGCCCTATGTGGAAATCGAACCCACGACCCGGGTGATTCCAAAAAGTATTTTATTCATCTGTAACAACAATCTAGGACTGAACTCTCATATAAATAACGACTATATCTTTCATCTTATGAATAGATAAGATCTAGTTTTTATTAATTCCAAAAAATCTGTAACAGACCTTGACTGTATTGGCAAATAATTTACCTACCATAAAAACTATATAGTTAAATAGTATAGTCAAAACTATTTTTACGAGTTAATCTCGCGTTTTTCATGCGCCTTATCTTAATTAATTCTGGCGTCAAACCGTCCGAAAAATCGAATCTTAGGGATTTCTCGTTTCAAGACCCCAATCTCGTATCTAATTCCCCAAACCGGTACTCAGTAATTTATTTCTTTTTTTGTAGTTGTTGCCTTGTGTAGCTCTAGTCCTTCTTTCTACATAGTTCCTACCCAAAGTACTAGCGGTGGAATGTTTTTAAGTCCTTTTTGACAATGCCTTCTCGCCTACCCTTACCAATCCTTCTTTTGATTTAAACATTTCCCCGCGTACATGAAGTAACGCTATTTATAAGTTCCTGAATAATTAAAAATTTAAAATTAGAGTAACATTTAGCCTCAAGAGAATCTGATCTGTCAAAGGTCAGGTTTTATTTTTAGGTTAATTTAGGTCAAATATAGGCGAAGACTATATTAAAATGAGTCAATTAAGACGGACTGGAATGCCCGAGAAAACGGATTAAATCTGGCCTATATAATAGTCTTAAAATGGATTTAAACTTTTCCAAGTAAATTAGGTTAGACGAAATTATTTATGATCTGAGCGTAGAAGATGTTAATGTGCCCTTTGTTTTCCGAAAACTATTTAATTACAGTTTTTTCTTCAGATTTAGTGAATCGCAGACGTGATTCCGTGACCACGAAAGCTTAAAGTTTCGAATACTGTTTTCGTTCCAAAAACCGTAAAAGTTTTAATTATTTCTAGGAATCGTGAAAATCAAAGAAAATACTAGAAGATGCTAGAAATGCTAGAAGATACCAGAAGGCGAGTCGTAGACAAATCCACGGATCCAGACAATAAGTAATGTACATAAATCATTTGAGCTGTGAATTCGTGAGCTGACCTAGGCAGGCAGGACCAAACTTCAATTAAAAAATCCATCGTCCAATTCGATCGTCAAACATAGATCGATTTTCCATCATACAATCCTACAAATAGCCTCCATTAGTGCGCCAAAAATCGACCACGAATCTTCATTTACATTCATTAAGTAATAACGCCTCTGTTTCGTTCCATTAATGAAAGACTTTAATATTGTTCGGTGCCTCCATTGTTCTTCTATTGTTTCGTGTTAGAATCCCTTTTAGTTGGTTCGCGGTCCTGCCGAAACACTTCATTTAAAATAACGTTTTCGATTGCTTTTAACGCGCTTTCCTTGTTTGGTAGTACTCTACGAGTTTATTCGTTTGTACCGAACGGATGATATTGCTCGGTAGACCGACGGTCCGAATGATGTTTTTTTTTCCCTACCTATGCTGATAGCCTTGAGAGACTAATTCAGCTTCTCGTTGTGGGTGAGCTCACGTGGCTCAAACCGGGAGTGTTGCTAACACTGGCCCTAGCAAGAGCAATGCTTCGCAGAATCTACCACCGGATCGGAAACGCGACCCACTGAGAAGATCCGGCGAGAAACTCAGTGGGCTGTGTCTATGCGTTAATTTACTCGTCGAGCCCTTAGTCGCGACGCTCGGATCCGGCGAGGACGGTGACCGGTGCTTGAAGCGGAACTTGTATATATGCAAGTTTATCTTGGAAAATTTGTAAGCAAGGTTCAGGTATCTGTCAAATATCTGGTGTTGTATGATGTCTACCCGCAACAATGTAACGGAATCTTTGAATGTCATTTACACAGGGTCTGATAGACGTCCGTTGTAAGTCTGCGGACGCATCAAAGACCTAAAACAATGCAGTCTGTTGCTTATAACCTCACTTCAATATCCTGATCAGTATCGAAAGAAAAAAAAGATGAAATTGATCTTCTAAATTATAACATATTGTTATATGAAAGCGAGCTATGTTTTCGCCATTTGAATTGTGACACTAGACTTCCTAAGTCCTAAGAGAGTCCGCGCGGGTAGGTACCACCACCCTGCTTAATTCTGCCGTGAAGCAGTAATATGTTTCAGTTTGAAGAGTGGGGCAGCCGTTGTAACTATACCTGAGACCTTAGAACTTATGTCTCCAGGTGGGTGGCGCATTTACGTTGTAGATGTCTATGGGCTCTAGTAACCACTTAACACCAGGTGGGTTGTGAGCTCGTCCACCCAACTAAGCGATAAAAAAAAAACAAAAAAAGTAATTCGAGTGGTGTATTTCCGCCGCCCACAGAAACTGAAGCCCACGTCTACGGGGAAAACTCCGGACGAGCTAATGCACGGTCTCTATAAATGCATCGTTTCACAATTTCTATCCATTAACTGATTACCGCATACAGTTCACTTAAACTCGAACAATGGGGCGTGTATTCTCGCATCCGTTAGATACTACGTCAAACAAAGTCTGTAACAATAAACACATATAACTAACAGAGTATATAGAAATAGTTCCCGAAAATGAAGAAAGTATTCCCCGAAATGAGAAAACTAAAGGACAATAAAAAATAAAAAATATTAGTAATCTATGTATTTTGCGTAGCACGCAATGGAATGTAATTAAAAATAAACTGACAGGTGAAATCTATGGTCTCGTGTGTATGAGGCCGCGTGGCGGGGCTGCCAGTCATTTCCACGATCCAATAAGGGTTCACGAATTTTAAATACATTTAAACGACACGTATTAATGCAAGAGGCAATGAATAGTGTTTCGGTAGCTAACTTTTTTTTTTTTATTGCTTAGATGGGTGGACGAGCTCACAGCCCACCTGATGTTAAGTGGTTACTGGAGCCCATAGACATCCACAACGTAAATGCGCCACCCACCCATCTTGAGATATAAGTTCTAAGGTCTCTAGTATAGTTACAACGGCTGCCCCACCCTTCAAACTGAAACGCATTACTGCTTCACGGCAGAAATAGGCAGGGTGGTGGTACCCACCCGCACGGACGCACAAGAGGCCCTACCACCAGTAATTACGCAAATTATAATTTTGCGGGTTTCATTTTTATTACTCGATGTTATTCCTTCACCGTGGAAGTCAATCGTGAACATTTATTGAGTACGTATTTCATTAGAAAAATTGGTAACCGCCTGAGATTCGAACACCGGTGCATCGCTCAACACGAATGCACCGAACGTCTTATCCGTTAGGCCACGACGACTTCAACATAGAATCGAAGGTTTTTTTTTTAAAATCTAAATCACGCTAACGCCATTTTAACAGTATGTAAGTACATTTACAATTTTCGACAAAAACAACAAAGAACAAAAACACCCGCTCGGCAAAAAAAATCCTCATTCATGTTAATTAAAACTTTTTACGATTTGGGTATTTGTTTAATTTTCTGAGATTCTAGAATATGCTAGAAATCGAAATATCGGAAATTGTAAAATTAACGGGATTAAAAGAGATTTAACTGTACACTGTTTTTTTCTACAGATTAGTAAATTAACATAAAGGTTCGGGACCGTTCAAGGTCATCGTGGACTTCAGAGGCGACAGGATCTATCGATCCGGCGAGCAAGGTCACGGCCGCGACCAGACGGTTTGATCACTGATGGAGGTGTTATCGCGATTAAAGATATCGGATCGGCAAATGTACAGAAGAATGTACAGGAAGAAAGTATAATAAAACTCAGTCAAAGTATTGAGATGACATATTAAACATGGGCGAAATTGCGAAATATGCAAAAATATTTTTTTTTATGTTTAGATTGTAACTCAAATCAAGATTTATCATTGTTTAAATTTGAGTTCTTACATATTTTAAACTAGCGACTCGCCCTCGCTTCGCTTCGGAAACATTAAATTTTATTATTGATAGCTGAGTCCCGCGATGTTACCCGCGTTTATTGTCGTACCGCGGATGACACCGCAGGGTGAAGCTAGTCTAAAAAAAGTAGCCTAAGTTACTCCTTATATCATCAGCTACCTCTCAGTGAAAGTCTAGTCAGAATCGGTCGAGCTGTTCCAGAGATTAGCCGGAATAAACAGACAGACAAAAATTGTAAAAATTGTTATTTTACCGTACCGTAATGTCTAGATTTGTATATTGGAGTGGTTGGACAAACAATTTTATTTAGGGAACCTGCATTTTTTTCTCAGAAACAGATGAGATTCCGGTACAGATCCGTATACTTCCAATAACCCATGGATAATTATTTGAAAGCTTGTAGTAGTAGTAGTAGTAGTAGTAGTAGTAGTAGTAGTAGTAGT